GTGTGGCGAGCAGTGGGTTTTTTTTTTTTCCCTTTTTTTCCCCTCGGTCCTCCAGAATAGCTCACAAAAGTGTCATTTATCCAGAGATAAGGGAAGCCGGAAGCTTGCAGAAAAGCCTGGCATAAAAACACGAGCCCCCAGTGCAAAGCGCGGGACACGGGAGCTTATAGCCACCGCGGACACATCGTGGTCCCTCTGCCCTCTACTCGCCAAGGGCTGTTTTCATGTCGCCCAAAGCCCGTGCAGACCTGGGCCCCATCGAGGGGGAATATTCCAGGCCTGCTCTCGGTTATGGCTGGCCACAGGTGACATCCTCCGAAGAGCTTTTGCGCCCCATCCCTGGATGCAGGCATCTTTCCTGGGACACTCACCTCCACCTCAACGTAGTCGTGGAGCTTCTTGCAGGTGGCCGCGAAGGTCTCGGACGTGCCGAATTCGAAGTACCACAGCTTGTTCTTCATCCTGGGCACGCAGAGACGGGGTGTTAGCAGCCCACTTGGGACCCCAGCCCACCAGTGGTCACCATCCAGCCCAAGTGGGCTGCAAGGTCCTTCCGAGGAGCCTTCATAATGGCAAGCAGAACCTCATGGCCACCAGGAGCAACACCGAGGGACAACGTGTGGCTCTCCTAGACCCTAGCTCCCACACAGGAGACCTGGTTACCTTTATTCTCCATGCTCTGAGGAATCCAGCATCCTTGGTGAGCACAACCAGGACTCCAGGGGCATCTTAGGGGGACAGAGGACAAGGGCTTAAAGCTTTGCAGCCCGCAGAAGTGCAGGACGGGGCTTGCAGATGACTCCTGGCCAGGGGACAGGACCTCCTCCTCAATGAAGCTGAGTGGGGCCCATTGCCCCCTGCCCAGGGCACCCTTTGGGGACGGCCAGGATAGTCCTGGGGAGAATCGGGGCGCTGGGTGCAAACACGCGGCTCCGGCTGCTGCTGTCATGCCATTCGTATGAACTTCAAGGGAATCCTGAGCTAGCCGTAACCTGTTTCCCTGCTTGGCCCTCACTGGGTAGCTTGTTCCTGCTAGCCCTGGAATCCGGCGCTAATTATAAAGCATGAATGAACTTAATTGGGTGCCTTTCCACGCGCCAGCAGCCTGACGTGCTGCAGAAGTGCCCGCATCGCAGCCTGCAGGAGTGTCCCTGGCCGCGCCGGGGCCGTCCTTGTCCCTCGTCCTTGTCCTTACCTGCTGTTGAACTTCTCTGGGTGCTTTTCTCTCATCATGTGGAAGCGGTGGGCGATGGAGGCGTCCTGGGGGGAGAGGGTGATACCCATCACCGTGGGTGATGAGCAGCTGAGCTCAGAAGACACCTCTGGGCATCATCTAGACCAACCCCTGCTGCTCAAACAGGGTCACCTGGAGCACATTGCCCAGGGCCAGGTGGCAGAAACCACCACCCGAGGTCCCGCTGGCTGAGGCTGAGGGTGGCCTCCCTCTCCAGGCACAAGAGACGATGGAGCAGGGTGAGCAGAGGGATGTGCAGGGACCCATCCAGGTTGGCTGTGGGTGCTGGGGGACTTGTGGCTCCCTGGAGAGCAGCCGCAATTCAAGGGCTCTCCAGGGGCTCATTAAGCAAGACCTAATTGGTGATGTTGGCCCTAGACAGGGAGCAGCTCCACTGAGCCTTCCGGCAGCAGCGCAGTGGGATACAGCCCCTCTGGGAGCACCAGCAAACAGAGCATGGGACAGGGATGGGGGGTGTCTTTGCACGCCCTGCGTTGGGCATCCCTGCCAGGGACCGTGAACAGTTGATGCACGCACATGCATTTAGTTGTTGTTTTGGCAAACGCAATAAAAATGGGAAAAATTACATTTGTGCTGAGACTGAGGAAGCTCGGAAATGTGAGCAAGGAAGAGCAGGGATGCGGCTCTTCTCACGCTCGGATGGAGGGTTTAACCATGTGCTTGAAGGGCTTTTATCTCCTCAAGGAAGACAAGCAGCCTGGCTGTGCTCAGGGAGGGTTATCTTGAGACTCACTCTGAGACCTCTCAGAGGAGATAACAATAGAAACTAGGGGCCAAAAGCTGCCCTCAGGTCGATGGCATCCTCCAAACGCACCAATTTGTGCTATGTCACTTTAGTGCCTTCAGGGCAGCTGTGATTTTTTTCCCCCCAGCTGTGACTTTTCCCCCGCAAATCCCCGGTGTTGCATGGGTCGGAGGGTTGATGGATGCAGAAGATGCCTCGTGTGCCCCATGGGGCTCATGGCTTTGCCACGGTTGCTTTGGGTGCAGCTGTTTGCACATCTGGCCCAGTGCAGGAAGCCCCAGCAAAGCAGCAAGGAGGGTTTCACAAAGCTGGGCCAGACCTTGCATGGCCTCGGCTGGTTTGGACACTGGTTGCTGGCCCTGCTGGCCTCCAGCTCAAATTTGTGTCCTCCCTCGTAGTGCCTCCCTTGTCGTCTTCTGGCTGCTCGCTAGCCGGTCCCCAGGTACTCACCACCCCTATCGAGAAGTAGTTGTTGATGATGCTGTACGGGACAGGGTCCCCTTGGGCCTCTTTGTCACTGGGGATGACATCTATCTGCCAGCGGTCCAGCATCACTTCAGTGCTGTGCTCGATGTCCTTCAGCACTTTCATCAGGTTGCCTCCCTCATAACCTGTGTGGGAAGAGAAGACACGCATCCCTGTGTGAGGAAGGAGCTGAGCAGCGTTCGGAGTGTCCTCATCAGCCAAGATGTCCCTGAGATGTGAGGGACCTCAGGGTGCTCTGGAGGCTGGGGTGGATTGAGGTGGCTTTCCCTCTCCTGTGTCCCACCTCATCACCAAATGGGGGGAGTGGGGTCCTCCCGTGGGGTGTCCATCCCGTCCCCATCGCCGGCTGCCCACGTGCAGGGAGGTGCTGGGCCAGCAGGCTACGGTTCAACTTGGAAGACGCTGCATTCCAGGGTCATTCCCACCTCCTCCTCCAGAAGGAAAGGCCAGGGCCCCAGCTCAGCTGCCAGGGACACCCTGACACCTGGGCAGATGCAGGCGGGAGCAGGTGACAACTCCGGGTGACCGAGGAGGCCTCTGGGTGAGGCCTGGAAAACCAGGTCCCCTGCGGTGTCCTCAATGGCCCTGGGGTCTGCAGACCCGATGTGAGGAGGGGGACGTGCAGTGGGACATGTCCCAGCAATGGGACCCGCGTGGCTGGAAGGACACCCGCAGGGCCATCCACTCCTCCCCGGCGGGGCTAATTCCCCATGGAATTCCCCACGGCCAGCCCGTGCCTGCGGTGCCTTCGGCCTCACCTCCTCCCCAGCGCAGGCACCTGGCGAGGTCGTTGCCGGTCCCCAGCGGCAGGACGGCCACCGGCGGGTGCTTCAGCAGGTTGGCCTTGTCTGCAGCCCAAGGAGGACGGCGGGTTAGGGGCTGCCCTCGACAGGCTTGGCCCGTATCGCCCATCCCCTGCTCCTCTCGATGTCCCTCCCCCGGCAGCAGCCCCAGGGCGAGGGGACACCCGCCCCAAACGGCACCGCTGGCTCCTCACTCACCAATACAGTCCAAGATCCAGCCCACGGTGCCGTCCCCTCCGCAAGCCAGGATGCGGAAATCGGGGGTGTCCCGGAAAAAACTCAGCCTAGGAGAGGTGAGAAGGAAGGAAAAAGGGAGCTGAGGGGCGAGCGGGATGGGGCGAAGGGGGACAGGGCGGACGGACTGAGAGCCGTGATGGCAGCTCCATACCCCGGAGCGGGCCCTCCACGGTCCAGGTTGTACACTTGCCGGGGGTTGAGCAGGTAGTGGAATTTCCGGAGGACCCTATGGAATGAGAGGCCGAGTGAGGGGCCGCCCGGCACAGACCCCGTGGGGCCGCTCCTCCGGGGGCGGCTCACGTACCTCTCTCCCTGCCTTCCTCCGCTCTTGGGGTTCACGAACACGAGCAGGGGGTGCGTGCCGGGCCGGGCGCTGATCTGCAGCCCTTGCCCGTCCGCCGCCACCCCCGCGTTCAGCTTGAAGGGGTTGTTGTCCTCGGGGCTGGTGCTGGCGGGAGAGTCGCTCTCCGATTTCCTGGAATGGGACTGCCTGTCCTGCGGGGAACAGGGGAAGGGGGCCATGAAAACCACGGGGAAGAGGCACCCCAAAACCAGCAGCCCCACGCGACGATGCTCCGGCACGCAGGGCCTTGTGCTGCTCCGGGCATCTGCGGGACTTACCAGCACCACGGGGCAGATGTAGGACGGCAGCAGGATGTGGTCCCGCAAGGCGCCCCCGTCGCACTCGGGCTTCACGTGCGAGGCACATTTGTTGTGAAGCTGGAAGGGGGCAGCGTGGAGGGCATGGGAAGTGGTTGATGTGATGGCACCCAGTTCTGGTGCCCTGCAGTGCCACCCCCGTGGGCTCTCCTGGGATGTCCTGGGCTGCTCTTGCAAGCAGGACCCAGCCCCAGCATCCCAAAGGGATGGGGTTGTCACTCATCAGCCACCCTGTCCCCAATGCTGAGCCCAACACTGCCCAATTTTCAAAGTGACCCTCTCCTTCACCAATACGGGGTGATGGGCACTGCGGGCGGCAGGGATGTCCCCGTGTCCCCCAAGCTCACGGCCCCACATACTCACAGTGATTTGGCACCAGACGCAGTGCAGGCCGGTGATGCCCTGGTAGCACTTGATGCTCTTGTGGCACCGGTCACACTTGACGGGGGAATTGCCCTCGATCCAGGTGTGCTGCATCACCTGCAAGGAACGGGAAGAAAATGCAGCCACCCGGGGCTGCGTCTGGGGATCCAGGCTGGGGGACTGGGGACACGGGTCCCCCACGGTGCTGGGGCTCTGCAGACCAGGAGCAACCTGCAGCAACTGTCTCAGGGCCTTGGGGGACACCCTGGGGAGAAACACCACGTGGGACCCCTTGGGATGCCCACCCGGTACCGTTAGATGAGCTGGGGAGAAACTCCCCGTCCTCCTACTCACATTTGTGTTTCTCTTGGATTTCACGTAGGTGCTGATGCACGAGGCGATGTCTTTGGACACGCACCTCTCGTGGACAGTGTATTTACAGACTGCGGCAGAAAAGAGCAGAAAACCAGAGGCTGGCGTGACCCCCCAGGCTGCGCTGCCCGCGGGCGGTTGGCCACGGGGACCCGACTCACAGGAGCAGCAGAGGCCCTGCTTGCGCACGCCCAGCAGCATGGTGCGGCAGAAGTTGCAGTAGGCCGGTTTCTTGAAGTGCTTCAGCCTCCAGGCGTGCTGCCCGTCGTCCTTCACGTTCTGCGGGGCGCAAGAGCCAGCGTCATTCCCACGTCCGGGGCCCAAGCCAAGCCATCCTGATAGTTTTACCTGCTTTTTTGCCCTATAAGCCCTCCCCAAAAAATCCTGGCATGGAGAATCCGCTCTGGGCCTCCTCCTGCTCCCCTGGTGTCACCAGGGCAGACCACATCCTGACAGGATGCCCAGCCAGCAGCTTTGGGGGAAGGGGTACCTTTTTGCTGCCTCTTTCTCCATGCCTGGGACCAAATGCCCATTTCCAACAGCAAACCTCACTGGCACCTCTAGCCCCCTGGGTTAGCATCTCAGATGCGGGCCCTGAAATTTGCTATAGCAAAGCAGAATCCACCCAGGCTGTCGCCTTCATCCCTTGTTAACGGGATGAAAGGTTATTCAGGACACAGCTATGCAGGCAGATGTCCCAAGCCCAGTTTGGTACCTAGGGATGGAGCAGAGGTGTCAGACCAGGTAGCTAAAGGCTATTGAACCCCCCTGGACTGGTGCTACCAGCACCCCAGCCAAGCTCTCTGGGTGGATGCCCTTTTGGCCCTGAGCAAGGATTTGCTTTGGGAAGGATTCATCCTGCCTAGCCTGGTTATAAGCCAAGGAAATGCAGGCCTGGGATGGACGGCAGGTGATGGGGGTTCTCTGTCCTCTCCTTCCAAACCCCACGTCCTCCCCGAAACGCCGCTTCGCTTGTCACCAGTGCCTGACCTCAGCTGCCCGAGGACATCGCTCCGCTAATGAATCTGCAGCCACAGAGGATCCTGCCTGTAATTACAGCCACTCAGAGCCGCTCTTGGCTGCTCCTAGCAACTTCCAAGATGTTTTGGGCACTCAGCTCATGGGATCGGTTACAGGATGAACCACAGCACCTCGGTAGGAGATGCAAGAAACCTGGGATCCTTACCCAGCATGGAGCTTCTCTTTCTTGGGGACATGTCCTCTGCCTGAACACAGCTAACCAAGATCAGAAGAGTCACTTAAAATTCCTTGGCGGCTTGAGCTTTCCTGCTGGAAAATCCCCTCACAAGCCTCTCCATGGAAAGCAGATACCAGAATGGGCAACAGGGACAGAAAATACATGGAGCTTCCTTTGCCAGGGGACATCAGATAGGTGGGATTTGGAGGGCCCTTAATGAAATGATGCTTGGTGGAAGGAAAAGGACCCGTGGAAGTGAGGAGAGATCAAAATTGCCTTAACTTTGCTCTTCAAAGTTCACCCCAGGAGAGGGAGCTAGCACCTTAGCATCTTCCTTTTGGAATAAATCTTCATCGTACTGAAGTACACTAAGATACCACGCAGTAAATCCGGCCTGAGCATCACAGCCACTAATATACCCCAGCCAGAAAAAAGGGGGTTGCAAAGACTTTTAGGGTGCCTGGCACATGGGCAGGAAGGATGTTGGGGTGTCTGCGCGGGGCGGGAGCCGGCGCCGTGGCCGGAGAGCGGTGCGGAGCCGCGCGGAGAGGCCGTGTTATCGAGCGCAGGGTGCCCTCCCGCGGCTCCTGTGAGTGCTCCTTGCCTTCCAGCCCATCTCTTGTCCCTCTTGCCCTCCTGGCAGCTTTGCTGCTGCCTCCAGGAGCCCTTTTGCTACACTGAGGCCTTTCTCCCACTTGTTCCCAAAGTAACAGCCCAGCAGCACACAGCTTGGAGATGTTGGGAGCCGGAGGTGGCCCAGCACCCCTGTAGCTCCCGCTGGAGCCATCCCGGTAGGAGACACCCAGTTTTCCAGTGCCAGCGCTCACCGTCTCCATGCCCAAGAGGACCAGCAAGGGGATGGTGGTCATGCCGCCCCGGATCCATTCCTCCAGCGTCACGTTCCCATCGTGGTCGTAGTCTATCTCCTCCATCATGGCTTTCAAGATCTAGAGGACGGAAAAGATGCTCTTACACGGTGCCCCTGAAGCGAGGTCCCCGCACGAGGCCGACGGCCCCTCGCGTCCCCCATGCCCTTTGGCAGCTCCAGCCACTCACCGGCTTCAGCTCTGTGGAGTCCCACTCCAGGTACTCAGCCACATGCACCATCTGGTTGATGATACGATCCAGCTCCTGAGCACAGCAGGGAAACTGAGTCAGGTGGGATGGGGTCCCTACCCCACTCCCAGCCTTAGCAGCATGTCCAGCCCCAAGACTATAGATATATACATGCAAGGCTGTCCTGGTCCCAACCCTACCCAGCCTAAGGGTGAGACAGCAGCACTCCAATTCTTGGTGGGAAGCCTCATTCCTCACTGAAAACCTGCCAGAAAATCCTTGTTGTTTTTCCATTTTTCTCTTTTTACTAGAAAAATCTGTTCTGGCACAACAGATTTTTGTTTGCGAGGGATTTCAAGGAAAATACACACGTCGACAAAAAGAAAACATGTTTTCTTGAGCAAGAAAAATGCCTTTCCTGGAATACTGAAACACGATTTCACATTAGCTTTTTGTCTTGGGTGAATTTTTTGTAGCTGTTGCTGGATGATACCTCCAGCATGCCAGTCTGGCATAGCCAGGAAATGCTGTTCCCTTCTTCCTACATTATTATTATTATTATTATATCGCCATTTAGTTCTGACTGCTGTGGCCTCGGTCCCCCATTGATCACCATGTTGCCCGTCTGTATAGCAAGGGAACAGCCTGAATCATTGTCTCAGTGGAGACATTTTCATCTGTAGAAGATAATTTTGGAGCTCCCGTTTTCCCAGTCAATTCTGGTGCTGCCTTTACAGTGACATGAAGAACTGGGAATTTTAAGCCCATTTGGAAACTGGGATTTGGGGGTGGATTTCACCCCAAACGGAGCCACTTTACCAGGCCTTGTCCTGGCGGTAAAGCTTACCGAGCTGTCCAGGAGGCCATTTCCATCTGTGTCATAAAGGCGAAACATAACTGTGGGAAGAAGGAGTTTTGGGTTAGGGTAGGACCTCAGCCCTGGATCTGGGCTGGGCTTTGCGACCCCCACACAGCTAATGCCTTGGCTACCTAAAGGCTCCATCACGGCAGGTGACTTAGCCAGTGTCCCACGTCTCAGGTGGCCGGGGCAGCTCCTCAGCCCCTGGTACTTCCCTGAGCATCCCGAAACCCCTTGGGCGCACAGCATCCCGTGGAGGCTCTGCTGGAGGGACCACACGCATGTCCCATCCTGTCCTCCACCCTGAGCACCCCAGGAAGGACAAGGACAGTGACGCCAAGGAAGCAAATCTCTACCAGGGCACAGGCGGACAAAAATGAAGATTTGATGTCCTCTGGCAGCCCCTCTACCAGACAAGGATGCCAGCAGGTGGGATCAGAGGAGCAACAAAGAATGGCATCCAATCATCTCGATACAGCCCTATCCAGAAGCCGGGGATGGATTCCCTGAGTGGTTTTAGCATTTAAACACTAAAAGGCAAAATGAACAGGCAAAGACACAAAAGTCTTTGGCATGGAGAGGATGTGGGCTATGATGGGCATAGGGCAACCAGGTTGCCAGGCTTTCTCCAGGGTCATTCCCAGCTCCGTCTCATGCCCAAGGCTCCCGGTTACAACTCTGGCACACAGCGCAGGTGCCACCAGTTTATGCCTTGCCCACAGCCCAGCTTATCCTGGTGACACTCGAGGCTCTCATGTTCAAGGCATTCCCATTCAACCGCATCCTCAGAGTATTCGTTGTTGGTACCTTAGGGCATCAGTAACGTAGGAAATAAAACAGGACAGGAGGAAAAGAAATCAGAAACTGAGAAGCCTAAATTCTGCCCACATGTTACTGCATGTTACCGCATTCATCCACTGGCTCTGGGCTGCGCCGGCCTCCTTGCAAAGCCGTCCCGGGGAGCTGAGCGGAGGATGATTCAGGTTCATATCACATCCCACCCGTGCAGTGACTAAGGTTTGGGATAATCTGAGCACTTCTCCTGATTTCAGCGTCTGAAACCCCCGAGGTTTTGAGTCAACCTCACTCTGGTCTCTAGAGAAATGGCTGGCTCACAGCCTTCCCTGCATCAGCTATTGGCCATGACATAATCAATTAATTAAAAGGCTTTGACCGTCGTGTCTGAACTGATCCACTGTTGTGATCAGCAGCAAATACTGACATTTCACCGTATTTTCTTGCCCCACAGCCACACTCACATTCCAGCTTGTCTTCTGCCCGTCCCCTCTCCAGCAGCGAGAGGTAGCAGACGATGTCCTTCAGGTAGACCACCTGAGCCAGGGGTGCCGGGGGATGCGGAGCGGCAGCTCGCAGGGAGTTGTGGCTCTTCCGGAGGCTGAAGGGCAACCTCTTCTCCAAGCTCTTTGAGCCTGCAGGGATGGAGAGGAGAATCAAGGCCCAGCATGTCAGACCTGTCAGAGGAGGTCTTTGGGACCAACTCCAGCTTGGCGCTAGCATGGATGGAGCTGGGAGCACAAAGACGGGGGACGCAGGGACATCTCTTAGGGCTGTTCCGCTCGAGATGGGCAAAACGAAGATGCCCAGGACTTGGCGCCCTTGCGAGAGAAGGGACGCGTAGGCGGCACGAGGAGCCGCAGCGGTTCTCCACGAGGACGTGCCCACTCGGAGCGCTGCTCCGGAGCGCAGCGCGGACGGCGGCGCGGCAGCTCGCGGCGCACGCCAGCACGGCCCACGCTCGCGCCACGCCCG